GGGGGGGGGGGGGGGGGGGGGGGGGGGGGGGGTTGAGGTTTGAGAGTCTGAGGAGAGGAAATCCCTCTTTTGTTTCCAACAACATTCTGTGTGTTTGTGGCTCAGGCCTGAGGATGAATACGTGGCTATGTATATATGTGTCTGTATATATATAATATACTGCTAGCAACTTGTAAGTGAGTAGAATCATTTTGTGATGTTAGCTTCATTCATCACTCAGTGATGGTGACAACAAACCATCTTTTGTTGTTTGCCAACTGAAAAGAGGACAAAGAAGAAGAGAGTTGTGGTTCAGGTGTCTCACTGTGGACAAACTTAACTTTTTAAAAACGTTTTACTGTCCTACATCTCAAAGGTACATATTGTACTTTTTACTGTACTACATCTCAGAGGTACATATTGACCCCTGAAGCTCCACAGGGAGGTGATGGGTCTAGTAACCAGCGATGTTTCGGCCGTTCGATCCTCAAATGAAACAAGAAATCAATGTTCATGTTTAACACACAACAAAAGATCGTGTTGTGTTCATGTAACAAGTGGAAAATTAATACTTTTTCTGAACCGCAGATATGTTCCTTCATCAGTAAACGAGAACATCAGAGAGAAGATGGTTATTCTTAATGCTTGTCATCGGTGCCACCGGGTCAGATTCTGGTGAAACCAGATGAAATCATGCAGGTTCACCAGAAACTCCTTCAGCTCAGACTCCAGCGGGGCCTCCAGCAGAGACCGGTCTACCGTGGACAGACCCAGATCCTCCAGCAGACCGTTCCACCATGGACAGACCCAGATCCTCCAGCAGAGACCGTTCCACTGTGGACAGACCCGGATCCTCCAGCAGAGACCGTTCCACCATGGACAGACCCAGATCCTCCATCAGAGACCGTTCCACCGTGGACAGACCCAGATCCTCCAGCAGAGACCGGTCTACCGTGGACAGACCCAGATCCAGACCTGGACCTGAGATGTTGAGAGCTGGACTGTTAAAAATAGTTCTTGTAGTTTAGTGTTGAGACCCATTCTGTCTCATGCCTCCTCCTCTAGTGGTTAAAGTATTTGCTTTGTTAAAACTCTCCCTAGTGGTCAGATGTGTACATTCTATGTACTTTGTACAGGTGTGTGACATGTCAGCTCCCTACGAAGATATAAATTTATTTTCTGAGCAAAATAACAGAACAATTCTTACTTTCAGGTGATTATACACTGGTTAAAACAGAGTTCTGAGTATTGTATTCAATTTCAGCCAATTATTAATGTTACACACAGTTCCTTTAACACACCAAAATATACCACAAGTCTGCCAGAGGGAGCAGTGCATTATGGGTAATGTAGGCGATGATTGTGTGGAATAAAACATGAGAACTGTGGTTCTGCTGTATCAATTTCGATACTTTGTTCATTAAACCCTTCATCGTGAGTCTGATGATGTCATAGACTGACTCCTCTTCCTCCTTCCCCAGTGAGACCAGAGCACACACACACAAACACACACACAGGGCAGTGTGTGGAGAATAATTGTAATAAATGTGTTTTATCATGTTGATGAATGAATGTTCGTCAGAGGGAGCAGCTTCTCAAGGAATGAGGCTCATCAGGTTTCACTGGTTTCACTGGTTTCACTGTTCAGAGTCAAGCAGGATCTGGTGGAGTAAAATCAGAATAAATCACAGAGTCAGAGGTTCTGCTGTGAAGAGTTAAGACTAAGGTAGATTTTGTGGTAAATGAGGAAGCCTGAAGACGATGGCAGTGAATATGAGTAAGAACGGTACATCACTCATGGACGCTTATAAAGAAGTCGTGGATGGAAAGGTGGACACAAACTGGTGAGCTGTCTCTGATTATGACTTAGTGACATGTTATACTGCTGACAAGTTAACCTGCAAACAAATTAACCTGCTGACTTGTTAACCTGCTGACACGTTAACCTATTGACAAGTTAACCTGCTAACAAGTTAACCTACTGACAAGTTAACCTGCTGACATGTTAACCTGCTGACAAGTCAACCTGCTGACAAGTCAACCTATTGACATGTTTACCTAATGAAAAGTTAACCTACTGACATGTTAACCTACTGACAAGATAACCTGCTGACAAGTCAACCTATTGACATGTTAACCTACTGAGAGGTTAACCTAATGAAAAATTAACCTACTGACATGGTAAACTACTGATAGTCAACCTGCTGACATGTTAGCCTGCTGACATGTTAACCTACTGACAAGTTAACCTGCTGACATGTTAACCTACTGACAAGTTAATCTGCTGACATGTTAACCTGCTGACAAGTTAAACTACTGACAAGTCAACCTGCTGACAAGTCAACCTATTGACATTTTAACCTAATTACATGTTAAACTACTGACAGTCAACCTGCTGACAAGTTAACCTGCTGACAAGTTAACCTACTGACATGTTAAACTACTGATAGTCAACCTTCTGACATGTTAAACTACTGACAAGTCAACCTGCTGACATGTTAACCTACTGACATGTTAACCTACTGACATGTTAAACTACTGACAAGTTAACCTGCTGACAAGTTAACCTAATGAAACATTAACCTAATGACAAGTTACACTACTGACAAGTCAACCTGCTGACAWGTTAACCTGCTGACAAGTCAACCTATTGACATGTTTACCTAATGAAAAGTTAACCTACTGACATGTTAACCTACTGACAAGATAACCTGCTGACAAGTCAACCTATTGACATGTTAACCTACTGACAAGTTAACCTAATGAAAAATTAACCTGCTGMCATGTTAAMCTRCTGACATGTTAACCTRCTGACATGTTAAMCTACTGACAAGTTAACCTGCTGACATGTTAGCCTGCTGACATGTTAACCTACTGACAAGTTAACCTGCTGACATGTTAACCTACTGACAAGTTAACCTGCTGACAAGTTAACCTACTGACATGTTAAACTACTGATAGTCAACCTGCTGACAAGTTAAACTACTGACATGTTAACCTGCTGACATGTTAACCTAGTGACATGTTAACCTATTGACAAGTTAAACTGCTAAAAAGTCAACCTGCTGACAAGATAAACTACTGACATGTTAACCTGCTGACATGTTAACCTAGTGACATGTTAACCTGCTGACATGTTAACCTTCTAACATGTTAACCTCCTGACATGCTAACCTAATGACATGTTAATCTGCTAACATGTTAACCTTCTAACATGTTAACATTCTAACATGCTAACCTGCTGACATGCTAACCCTGCTGACATGTTAACATGCTAACATGTTAACCTCCTGACATGTTAACCTGCTGACATGCTAACCTGCTGACATGCTAACCTGCTAACATGTTAATCTGCTGACATGCTAACCTCCTGATATGCTAACCTGCTGACATGCTAACCTACTGACATGCTAACCTGCTCACTGTGTATTTTCAGGGCGCTCTTCACTTATGAAGGGAACAGTAATGATATTCGTCTGGCACATAAGGGAGGTAAGATCTGATCGATGTACTCTGTAATGGACAGCAATAAAAAGTACACACAAATTCTCAGTTGCATGCAGTGAAAATACATGTTGTCCAGTGAATCGTCTGATGTATTATTATAACTTACAATACCGAAGGATAGATGTAACTGCTTCTCCTAACTGATAGATATAGTCAGCTAGTTGAGTCCAACATAGGGGTTGGGCCCCTCCAAAGGGTCACCAGATCAGTCTGAGGGGTCCTGAGATGATTAATGGAGTAAATGTACTTAGTTACTTTCCACCACATTAAACTCAGCTAACTGCTGATTCATGTTTCCACACTGAGAGCTGGTTTGTCCGTATTGTATAATGTCACATGAACGTATCTTTGTCCTCCACTGAAAACTAAAACTATCACCAGCTGATGAGGAAGGACGACCTTTTTAATGTTTTTGCTCACTCGTGTTGTTGTTGTTGTGTGTGTGTGTGTGTGTGTGTGTGTGTGTGTGTGTGTGTGTGTGT